TCCTGGGAAGTTCTTTCCAGTTGCGATTCATTTTTCTGATACTGCCGGTCCCAAGCCCGGCTAAGAGAACAGGATTGGGAATAGGGTCAGAAACCTCATCCCATAGAAAATAACCTTGTTACAAAAACACTAGCCAGAATAAACGCCTGTCTAGTGCATAAATGTTTTCAATGGCTGATAACATGGATCAAATCGTGATTTCAATCTGATTCATTGAATATGTTACTCCATGTGATTTCGCAACTACAATTCTTTTCATCGCTCATAATCAGGCATCCAGAATATTTATTTACGTCAGTAATTTTAGTTATTCCTCTACAGTTTATGACCTGAAACACCGTACGATCGGTACTACAGTGTCGAAAATGTATCCCTATATTTCAAAAACGTAGTCCGTACGATAAACACTAGATCAAATTTCTTTTTAAAGATAAGACTTGAATCGGTTGAATTTTCGAAACGGTTTTTAATGAAACTATGAAGACAGATTTGTTTTTACGTCGATAAACTTAAGAATTACTATTATATGTAGAAAATCTGACCGATTTTCTGGAGGTAGTTGAATAAAATTGTGCCCCAACCCAGATTTTTATTAAAATCCGCAATTTAAACTTGTCAAACAAGGAAGTTTTTGATAGTTTAACTAGTAACCAATTAATTGCTCATCCTACATAGTTCAAATGAACTTATTTTTGGACGAGAAGATCTGGTTGAGTGGCCAAAATATAATTAGATTTATACGTCTCGTTCATATGACAGTCAGGTGCGACACTTAATAATTGAGGTAAAATTGACACTTGGAAGTTATTTATCATAATTTACTTGGCATAGCTCCAGGTCAGTTGAATGGATCCAGGTTTCCATTCCACTTCAATCGTCAGTATAAGTTTGTAAGTGATTCACAAATGCCGAACCACAACTGATTCAGCAGCTCACAATTTTACATTATGTCCGCTTAATAACACTACACCCTTACTACATACACTTAGTTTGTCATTTCTATCCGAGTGTTCGACATCCTACACATGATCTAAAATACTGTTAAATCTATTTTGTACCACGATCCTGTCCTTAGCATTCTTCCCCTTCGAGTATCACACCATACTACTTTACAGTATTCAGTAATTTGCGTTATGCTCAAACATTTTTTGAATTAGTTAATGATGTTTTTCTACTGTAACGTCGATCTTAAACCTTTCTATATTTACCTAATCCTTTGATCCATTTTCTTACGTGTTTTATCTCATAGTCCTAATTATGTGTGTTACTCACCGAAAAGCTGTTTATTCTGAATATCTTGCCTGCTTTTAATTCGCAAAGCTTGTTTAATTCCGTTAATTGTTAAAATTTGTCAGTGATAGTCATGTGCTGTCCTCAAAATTAAAGTGTGCATTGTGATTTGATTGTTATCGAGCTATTCGGATGGCGTATCTTTCTTTTGGCTATGCCTTTAATGGAGTTACAGAAACCTGTAAACCTCATGATTCAAGGTTTATAAAGTATTTTTCTCATGTTGCTTATCCTAATAGTACCGTTTACTAAACTCACTTAGAGCATTTCTAGGGTTACAGCAGATCCCGAATATGGGTAAAGGAAGGGAGTCGGACATAGAGTTAGAAACCCCATCCCATGATAAAGAACAAAAACCATAAAAGTCATTCAAACTATTTAATTGCTTTCCTGGGACCTGAAGGATCTTCAGATAAGAGTTATGACGCCTCATAGTAAAAACCGAGATTCTCCCCACTTCACGAAACTGATTCCGATTCTGACAACCGGTGCTACACGCCAACAAACGCTAGCGGCGAGGATGTTAAAGATCAGCAATATAAGAAGTTGCAGTCCGTCATAGAGAAGTAACCAAGAAAGGAAGTGATCATCCTGACAACGGACCTGAACGTAAAGGTCTGAATGAACAACACCAGATACGAGGACATTATAGATATTATGGTCAGATTCATCGAATTGTTGTGAAACATGTATTAGTAGGATGACTGGAGGAGAATAGTGACTGCAGAGAAGAGATACGCGGATTCCTTATTTAATCATGAAGCTTAGCCTGGTCTATGTCATTGGAGGAAGACGCCACAGCACATCTCATACACCTAGGTTTGCTTACGCCTAATTTTGTTGAGCCCTTCAATTAACTTATTTGACAGACAGTGTTGCTCGAGTAGTATCAATTTGTATATCTTTTTCAATATATATGCTTGATCATGCTTTACAACCTATGCATATATATATGAAGACTTAGGAATTATCTCGAAAATAACCCACTAAAATGCGCTTCACCCCGTTTGTTGAGAAACCGTACTAAGGTATGAGGAAAATACTAACATATACAACTGGACATGACGGGCGAATGAAACTGACATGAATGTGACGAAGGAGAGTGCATCCTTGAGAGACTAGCTATAAACTCTATGTTCTGATTTACAGCGTGATGGTAATGCATATTAATTGCAGTAATCGAATGACGTTTAAAAACAATGAATGATGTAGCATTCAGTTATACATGTAAATAAATAGATAAAATGAACATATTCGTTACTGATCGGTTAGTAGTGCGGCGACTAAAACTTCATGAATATATGAATATTGTAGTAAGGCACACTGATCAAATAAAGTGACAGATGTATAATGGAGTTTCAGTTTATACTGTTGTTGAAAAAAATGCCACACGACGACTGCTGTGTACAAGTGTGATGAATGAACATTAATTTCATATCGAGAACATAAGTTCCTACTACTATCGAGAGTATGATTCCAAACTTTTGTCTATAATAGCGTTGTCAACCGTTGCCATCGTTAGTGTATTTGCGACCATGCGGTTGTCAGCGTGGAGGAAGTTCACTAGATTGGCTAGGCTGATGGCTCGTGTGCATGCACATATCGCTAAACTAACATTCATGGGCTGTATCATCGATAAATAAGGATATCTAATATATATGTGAAGACGGATTGAAAAAGAAAGGGTAGCATTCCCACAATTGACGAACATTTGGAACTCAGATCAACAGCCAGCTAACGCCAGTTATAAAATTTAGTACCAATATTATTAAAACTGTTTTATTGCACGGAGCTAAATCTTGAACCACTACAACTGCTATCAAAAAGATATAGGGAATTATAAACACCTGTTTACTCAAAACACACCAGATTCATTGGTCAGACGCCATAAGCAATAATCGACTTTGGGAGAGGCCTAACCACCTTCTATATGAAGAGGAAATCAGAAGCCGTTGGAGTTGGGATAGGTCATGCTTTAAAGAAATCACCAAACTCTTTCACGAGCCAAGAACTAAACTGAAGGACAAAAAGATAGATCAAAAAACAAATGACGCATGGAGTCGTAGGTGGATGTCAAAAAATGGACAGTGCTTAGTAACAACCAGAAAGGAGGGCACAAGACAGAGTTAGTTGAAGACCCCTGGTTGATGGCCTATGCCTCAAGAGGAGCAACAGGCTTAATTAAGTAAGTACCATTTCCCAGACAACGCTCATCAGTTGATTTTGACCATCAAGTTACTATCCTTGAAAGCATTCTATGTATCCTATAATAATTAAGTGAACATAATGTGCTAATCGCTGAGATATGCAAAATTGTCCCATCAACACATTCTTTCACACACAGAGTAAAACCCATTTGTTTATCGCGTTTTTCATTTAATGGGTATATTGCAACCATATGTTCAATAAATTTAAACAGTATATAACCCATTTTAATAAACAATTAAAAGTTGTGAGTTGAAAGACAGTCATTTCTATTCATATGCTATGTAATTGTAAGGAAATCAATGAACTGTATATGACTTGCCACAGTAACATGACCAATGAAATAGATTTTCCTATTGATTTCAAAATCGCTTCAATATGAATTCAATTTATGGGAAATGTAATACAATAGAAATGTACTAATTAGCTCCCTTCATCAAATATTTCCCTACAAACCAACAGTTAATTATAAATATTCTGAGTGTTATATTTTATTCGTTATAACATATATTTATTTGAGTGTGATGCTTATTCAAGATATGATATTCTTTGTATTAATGTGAACTAGGCTCAACATGACAAGAAGCATGTCATTTGTCACAACTCTGAACTTTTCCACATATATGTGATTTCATTCTAATTAATAATCAAAATGGGTGTATAGTCAATATATGAGTGTATTTTCGACTAGGGTTGTCGTGTTTTGGGGTTGATAGAGGTAACTGAGAGGAAATGGGGTTAAAGTAGGTCTTACTGACCTGAAAGCGTGACAACTGCCTGATACCAGTCACAATACTTTTTATGTTAGCTCCGCACTTGTTGAAACCTTACCGACGGAGATGGATATCCGTGGGATGAGGTGTGTATTTTTAGGGCCGACCTTACCTAACTCCACTCTTCCTTTGTGAAAAGACAGCATTGTTATTATGCTGGTTGTTTGAGGGAAACGCCTTACTGACGTCACATCTCTGTACAGTCAGAAGCACAACTACGCCCTCAGACCTTGGGTTTGTTGCTTACAGTCCTAGCGCTCTCCAACCGACCTGCCTGGTGTAATAGGACCTTGAGGAACGGATGCTCCAGCCCGTATAGCCCAATTGTTTCGTCACGATAGACAAGCTCGACCACCACGTCAGGGTAGAAGCAACGATTGGGTTTAGGCCTAATAAATCTCTACTTGTACCAGTCTTCCATGTTCTTACTTTGCGTCGTGAGAATTGAAGTGGTTTCATTGTCTAAGTAATAAACGACGCGGACATAGCAAAAAGTTATGAGATTTAAACACTTGACCGTATCTTAACTTCTTAAACAAAAGCTGATTTCTGTGATTATATAAGTTATTTTTGAAAATTAATCCTTAATGGAAAACATCAACGTATTCAACTGAAAACTATAAATTTACAATTTATTAAAAGAAAAAAATACTCAACATTTTACTATTAAGGAATAAATTTATATATATATATATATATATATATATATATATATATATATATATATATATATATATATATATATATATATATGCAATTGTTTGACTTAATTCCAACCGAATATACAAAAAATGAAATGGAAAAGTGAGAAATGCCCCGAAAAAAATAAGAACGAATAAATTCCCATTGTGAAAAATAACATCAATAAAAGTTCAAAATGAAATGATAAAGAATTAGTAAGTAAAGGAAAAATAAACAACAAGAAATTATAGAGGACAAAAAACATAGTTGTACTACATAATTCTAATCAATACTTGATTACTTTCACAATAATATGTAGTAATAAATATGACTGCAAATGTTGTTTTTTTTTTAGAAAACAGAACATGAGAAAAGTAATCACTGAATTGTCCTCAATTATTTTTCTCCCACAGAAGAAAATAAAAAGTTAGTCAGAATCTGAATGTAAACCAGCAATCTCTTCTTCGGAACCGCCAATAGCTCTCCAAATTTTACATGTTATCTATAAAATAAATGGATTGATGAGAAAAAAATTACAAGGAATAATTAAATAACTAAGTGAAGATAATACCTGTATGAATATTATCTACAAATAAAGAAAACCTATAATATATATGATTGTAAAGATTAATATACGATATATATGGGCATGATTCTGATACGCTTTGATGTTGTGTTCTCTTATCCGATTTTCACGTACAATATACACTTATTACTATTAATCAAAAGTTTAAACAAGTAGAAAGGTATGATTGTCAAATCGTTGATAGTATGTATACATATATACATTTGTCGTTCTAACTCAGACGAGGACATATAGGCTGAGATCTTGACTAGAAGTATAAGCGACTTCATACTGTAGCATACCTTATTTGTAATTCCTCAACTATCCTCTAACGTTGAAATAATATGTAAGCACAGGTGTGTAGACTTATTCAGTCTATTATCTCCGCTTCAAAAGTAAACTATCCAGGAGTGTGATAAAACTTGTTATAATTTCATAGGTTTATCAACTGACTACAATGTGAATCTATCAACAACAATATTATAAACACTTTGATAGATTATAGTAACATCGATGATATATGTGATTCGCATTTTTTCAACTACTTTTAAATTTTCCACAAGCATTAAATCCTTGTTTACTGAAATTCAACAAACAAGTGTAACTATGTATGCAAAAATCTTAAGGAGACTACAGAAAATATAAATTCAACAGTAGCAAGAGAAAATGAAGAATAAAGAGAGAGAAATAGGAAGCTATAGAAAAGTAGATAGGTTATCGAGAAAAGTATGAAAATAAGATTTAAAAAAACTGATTCATCTAATTTGACTACCTTTTAGTGTGATGTAACTAATTGAGGAACATACGGAACTCAAAACAACTGTCAACCAATATCAAAGTCAGAATCTTCAATACCAACGTTAAGACAGTTCTACTGTACGGAGCTGAAACTTGGAGAACTACAACAACCACCATCAAGACAGTTAGTCAGTCAGTAACAACGTGGAACTTCGTACGTACGTACATCAGTTCGAGTTGCCATACCACATTAACACAGAGATTCAGTTATCGTCTCAAATCCAGTAGTGGCAGAGTAGTGAAAGTATAAGTAGTGACAGGAAACGTTAAGGTTTGATGATTTTATTTAAGGAGTATAGTCCAGTGAAATAAATTTGGAAAGAAAACAAAGGACATGAAGAATTCAGAAGATTAGAGTTTGGGAGAACACAAAGAGTGGATGAACCTGCGCCATTGCAAACGATTTTGAGCCATGTCATTCAAGGTCTCTAACCATCGGTTGCTATCATCTCGCGGTCCCCAACCAGGTAGTCTCCATCTACCAACATGACTCAGTCCACTTGTCAGTGACTTCATGGATTTGTGTCATGTTTTGGTCTGGCCGCCCCTAGCTTTCTTCCAACCTACTTCTACACCATAAAACATAGCACGTCGGGGCAGTCGGTGGTCGGGCATGCGCAACATATGTCCCAGCCATCTCAACTGATTAAGTTTCACTACTTCCTCAATTTATTTGCCATCCTTACCTAGTAGTCGTTTCATAACAACTGAGTTGCTTACTTGGTGGTCCCAGGATATACGAGCGATGTTTCGAAGACACCTATGGTCAAATACTAGTAACCTACGAATATCCTCTACTCTTACTGGCCATGTTTCACTGCCATAAAGTAGGACGGAACGAACTGCTGCGAAGTAAACACATCCTTTGGTTGATAGACGGGTATCTCGCCTACGCCACAAATGACGAAAGTTGGGAAAGCTAGTCGAGTCCTCTGCATCCGTGCTGAGATTTCGTCACACACCAGACCACAAATGTTGATGAGACTTCCGAGATAAGTGAAGCGGTTGACATGCTCAACCACCATCAAGAAGGTACAAGTATTTATCAATAGCTGTCTACGCAAGATACTCAACATCCATTGGCCGGATACCATCAGCAACAGCCTTCTGTGGGAGAGAACAAACCAACTTCCAGCTGAAGAGGAAATTAGGAAAAGACGATGGAAATAGATAGGACATACATTACGCAAATCATCAAACTGCATCATGAAGCAAGCCCTAAGTTGGAATCCTGAAGGGAAGCTGAAAAGTGGAAGGCCAAAGAACACATTACGTCGGCAAATAGAATCAGATATGAAAAGGATGAATAACAACTGGAAAGAGCGGGAAAGGATTGCCCAGGACAGGGTTGGATGAAGAATGTTGATGAGCGGCCTATGCTCCTTCACGACGAGTAGCAGGCGTAAGTAAGTAATTCATGAAATACAGAATAGTATGCCCGACTTTGAGCTACACTTCATGTACGAGAACAAGTTATACTACTACTCGTCTGAGTGAACCGAAACAGCTGAAGTTAGGTTCGAAACTGAGACCTAGTAGTTAAAATTCGAGTGCCTCATCCATCCACTAAGCCCCTAAATGCCATGGTACGGCCGAGAGCGGGGAAAGTCAGCTCTCCCTCGCAAAATACTCTCACACGTTCATACAGCCTCTGGCAAGGAAGTCCTACTCACTGCCTTCTCGCGGCATCACTGTTAATTACGAAATCGAGAGGACGAAAAGTGAATATCCTGTGCTTGAACCCGGTTGGCGGATACGGAGAGTCCACCTGAGGGAGTTGGAAAACCTTGATTCCAAACCAATGGTGCACATGGGCTCCAGGATCCTGAAGGAATAAATGACGTATGAACATATTCCTGGCCACCGGCTACCATAGGACTGCATCTTCTCACGTTGCTCCATTGCCTTGTGGACCAGACCTTTAGGTCAAAGGCTCCGGGTGTGACCCCCTTATAAAATCATCTGCTTCGGTTTGGGCACCCGGGCAGTATTACAGCCTAAGCACAAGTCAAGTGACTTGGGTGGCGAATATGTATTCGATGCCTCTTTGTATTAATATTTATGTGCTCTAATAAATAGTAAATAAATAATAAATACCAATAAGCCTTCATTTCATGTCTTAATAGTATAAATTTATCGACTTTCTCTTAAAACTAATTAAATGACAATGAAATTTACCTCAAAGGAAACTTTAATGCTTTACAAATTAGTAACAAAACAAACAAACAAGCAAAATTATACTTTATAACTTACTTTTTCAGCCATATTATATCTATCTGTAGAATTTAATGAAGCTATCTCATTACGTATTTTTGGTAAATGTTTGAAAAATTCTTCATATTCACTTTCATTATTTAATGATGAATTAATAAATTCATTATTATTTAAATTTATCTTATTTATATTATTGGATAAATTATTTACCAAATTTAAATGATTTTCATTATTTAAAGATTTATTATTAATTGATTTCAAATGGTTTAGATTATTTTGACCTTTTAATTTAATAGAAAAGAGAAGAAATTTGTAAATGTTCTTTTAAGATATATATATATATATATATATATATATATATATATATATATATATATATAGTACAATCTGATTATAGTGAAAGGGGGGGAAAGAGTTTGAAAACCTTTTTATCTTCTATAGAGTTATAAATTAAACATCTATAATAAATTATCATTTCATTGTATTTATCCCACTTTGAACAATACACTTCTTGTATTTACATTTTCATTATTTTCTATATTATTGTTCAGTTTGATTTTTTTTCATTCTACCAAATTTTCCTTAGCTAAATTGATGAGTTTATGTGTGGTAGGGGTGGAGAAAATTGAAGTGATACTACACTTTTGCCAAGTTCAACAACAATGACAATATATGATTGACTTGCAATATTATCACTGATACTATTATTTTAATTCCTTTGATTTTCCTACATTATTTATGACTGACTGATTGAACTAAATTATAAAACTCATCGAAAGACATGAATATAGTTAATTTGCAAAGATTTTTTATACTTAAATACCATTTGACTTGAAAGATATGTTTCGGTAATGTAATAAGAAGAAGAAGATTATCACAGCTATGTGAAAACCGACGTGGATAGGTCAATACCTTAGTTATTATAGTTATTGCCCTGTGCAATACAAACGTGGTTTGATAAGGTGTCTTTTTAATAGGCTTGATCGTATTTGTACAAATGATGCCATTGATGATGATGTTAAATTGCTAAATAAAACATTAATAGAAAATTGCTATCCTCTGAAATTCATAATTAGATGGAAAGTCCATGGTACAGTGAGACTTACTATAGCCTTGGTAGAAAAAAGACCTGTCTACATCACCTTACCATTCAGAGGTGATTCAAATAGCCTGTTATTGAAACAAAGACTTAAATCAGTCATCAACAAAACGTATTGCGCAGCAAAGGTCATTACCAAAGAAACAAAGAAAACGATTGTGTCACATCTCACTGTGTTTACCAATTTAAATGTGTGTGTGGTCACACATACATAGGGAGGAGCAATCGCGATCTCAACATTAGGGTGTGTGAATATGTACCAAAATGGTTGCAGAAACAAATACAATCAAGTGAGCCCATAAAAGTAGAGGATACGCATCCATCATCCTCTATCGCTAAACATATAATCGAAATAGGCCATAAGACTGATCTTAACTCGACCTTTGTGGTGTTGTATAAAAGGGTAAAAGGGTGTATACTAAGGTTTATTGAAGCCTTGGCCATACGAAAATTCAAACCCTCTTTGTATATATAAATGTTCTTAACATGTATATGTGTGATCAGATTGTTCGAAATGTATTGCGCTAATATATCATCACATAGTTCTGATAATCTTCGTCTTCTTATTACTTACTTACGCCTGCTACTCGTCGTGAAGGAGCATAGGCCGCTCATCAACATTCTTCATCCAACCCTGTCCTGGGCAATCCTTTCCCGCTCTTTCCAGTTGTTATTCATCCTTTTCATATCTGATTCTATTTGCCGACGTAATGTGTTCTTTGGCCTTCCACTTTTCAGCTTCCCTTCAGGATTCCAACTTAGGGCTTGCTTCATGATGCAGTTTGATGATTTGCGTAATGTATGTCCTATCTATTTCCATCGTCTTTTCCTAATTTCCTCTTCAGCTGGAAGTTGGTTTGTTCTCTCCCACAGAAGGCTGTTGCTGATGGTATCCGGCCAATGGATGTTGAGTATCTTGCGTAGACAGCTATTGATAAATACTTGTACCTTCTTGATGGTGGTTGTTGTAGTTCTCCAAGTTTCAGCTCCGTACAGTAGAACTGCCTTGACGTTGGTATTGAAGATTCTGACTTTGATATTGGTCGACAGTTGTCTTGAGTTCCATATGTCCTTCAATTGTAGGGAATGCTGTCCTTGCTTTGCCGATCCTCGCCTTTATCTCAGCATCTGAACCTCCTTGTTCATTGATGATGCTTCCCAGGTATGTGAAGAATTCTACGTCTTCCAGAGTTTCGCCATCAAGAGTGATTTGATTGCTGTTCTTCGTGTTGTATTTGAGGACCTTGGCCTACTGATGCAGAGACTGCTGCTACGTTGGCTGTCTTCATCTGCATTTGTTCGTGTGTATGTGATAGGAGGGCTAGGTCATCTGCGAAGTCCGAATCGTCTAATTGGTTCTGAGCTGTCCACTGTATGCCGTGTTTTCCCTCACATGTCGAAGTCTTCATAATCCAGTCGACCACCAGAAGAAAGAGGAGTGGAGAGAGTAGACAGCCTTGTCTTACTCAGGTCCTTACTTGGAATGCATCTGTCAGCTGTCCTCCATGCACTACTTTGCACCGTCATCTTCTCAGGAACTCCGTAGTGTCGAAGAATTTTCCATAACGTTCTCCTATCTACACTGTCACATGCCTTCTCATAATCAATGATGTTGATGTAGAGTGACGAGTTCCACTCAATTGATTGTTCAACGATGATCCGTAGTGTCGCAATTTGGTCTGTGCACGACCGATCCTTACGTCTTCTTGTTACATTATCGAAATTTATCAAAGGGATTAATTGCTTTAAGTTTATCAAATAATTCACCTTTCAAGTCAATAAATTATATTTTTTAATTAAAAAAATCACGAATAGTAATATTTCCAGTGACACGAACTTATTTTACAGATTAGTAAAAATATCAAATAAATATTTGATAAATACAACTATTCCTTCTATAGTAATAAGAATTTGAATTTGTAACTGACATTAATGATTAGTTACTTTAATGAAATTTGAGTTTTGTAAGCATACAGCAGAACTTTAACTTGTACAAAATAAAATTGATGCACCAAAGTCTTTTCAGATAATAAGATATGATAACTTGAATTGATGTACATAAGTAACAGGTTCTACACTGTGACTAATTGGTCGTTTCAACTAATAAATTAATTCAAAGTTTATCTCATTATATTAGCAATTAACAGTAAGCGATAAAAAAACCGGACAGATATATCTTTAAGGGTTAGGAGAGTCAGTCAGTCAGTTAGCTACAACGTAGGACCAGGCATATACATGCGTCGGTTCAAATTGCCACACCTTATTAGCACAATAAGATGAACATCAAATTTATAGAAGTTGTTAGTTCAATGGGAGTAATATACAAAAGAAAGATGGCATATAAGGATATAATACAGGAAGAAAGAATTAGTTCGTAGAAAGAAAGATATGAAGTGATTTCGATCTCTTAGTTTAAAGGAAGACAGACAGTGTATACACCGACGCCATTGTGATCGATTATGAGCCATGTCACCAAGAGTCTCCAACCATTGGTTACCATAGTCACGTGGACCACAACAAAGTAATCTGCATCTACCAACATGACTCAGATTAGAAGTTAGTGACATTATGCATTGATGCCACGTTTTGGTTTCACCACTCCTAACCTTCTTCCAACCATCCCCTACACCAGTCAGCATTGCGCGTTGTGGTAATCGGTGTTCAGGCATACGCAACACGTGGCCCAACCACCTCAGTCGATGAAGATTCACAACCTCATTAACTGATTTACCATCAAGGGAGTGGGTAAATAAGTATGAGTAGTAAGGTGAATAAGTCAGACAAAATCTATGACCAAATTATTCTCTTTACTATTATCATGCAAAAGAAATTCCTGATAATAACAATAGTACTTATATACCTTTAGGCTTCATATTTGGCCAAATATGTGTTTCCAATATAGATATTATTCGTTTTACTCCAAATTCTTCGCCTGAAAACAAAATTCCCCAAAAATAATTTATCGTAATATACAACTGTACTAGTTTCAAAAACATATATTTTGCTAAACAGTGGATTACTTGCAAAAGTATGAGTTATCAAAAATAGTCAGAACAACTTACCGAATGCTTAGTAAGGTTTTCTGTGACTACGGTAACGACATCTATTGCAGCAAACATACAAAACCAAATCTTAATAACAATCATGCTTGAACGTACAAAATTATCTAAATAAATTCTATCATTTATTAATGATATTTAACAAGTCAAGGACTGTTGAAATTACAAGAATAGTTAGTTAGTAGTCAACTGATTCCCTAAAACGAAATATAAGGTATGCTACTATATTTTCAACTCCGTTTGGACCCCTTCTAAGGTTACTCCCAGTCCTAGGTCCGGATAAATAAGAGTTGGTGTTAGCGGGACATAGATTGGATTTAAGCATGCTCAATGCACGATTGCTTTGGTGCACACTAATTGGCTGATTCTTATCCAATCAGCGCTAGTCGATACATGGAGAAGACTCTAGATTCTTCTTATGTAAAAAGCTATAAATATACTAACGGTTTTCCTATATTGCTTCTTGCTTCTATCTAACCTTGTTATTTGGAATATAATCTCCTTCCTGCTCAACCGTGTTCTGATTTGGGGCCTTGTCGAGTGAATCTGTGTCCGTGAATACTAAGCAATAGGAATAGCTGGGTTATAACCGTAAGAGCAAATATAACAGTGGCGAAGGGGAAAAAGGAAAATAAACTCAAGATGTCCATATCAGATGACCAGCTTAACCGAATACTTCAACAACAGCAAGCACAATTAGATGCACAAATGAGCTTGTTGGAGACTCTGACTCAACAGCTCAACTTCCACTAGTCGAGTTCACATGCTATTACAAGTACGTCTTGTGATGCAGTTGTTAGCAGCATCTCAAAATTCATCTATGATCCCGAAAGCGGAAATACTTTTCTCACGTGGTTCAAACGTTGGGAAGATACATTTAGAATAGAATTCTGTAACCAAGACGACGCGTGGAAGACTCGATTGTTGGTACGTAAGTTGGGAATTAATGAACATGCACGCTATGCTGACCATATATTGCCAAAGTTACCTCGAGAGCTCAGTTTCGAGGAGACGATAATTCAATTGTCAGAGATATTCGGTGAATCCTCCTCATTGTTTAGTATTCGACATCAGTGTCTAAATTTGGTGGAACGCGAAGCCGATGAATATGGTGTTTTAGCAGACATCGTCAACAGAGAATGTGAACGGTTCAAGTTACGCTCGTTGACAGAAGACCAATTTAAATGCCTAATATTCATCAAAGCTCTTCAGTCACCACAAGATGCTGAGATCAGGACTAGACTTTTGGCTCGACTAGATCAAGACCCAAACGTCACACTCAGAACGTTGACAGATGAGTGTAAGCGGCTACAAAGCATCAGACACGACAACGAGTTGATTGAACAGGTAAATCCTAATTTAACCTGCAGTAGTGTCAATGCTATTACTAGGTTAAAAGTTAAGAAGCCGATAACAACTCGTAACAAACCAACGACTGCATGCTGGTTATGTGGTGATTGGCATTATGTACGATTCTGTCCATTTAAGAAGCATATATGTCAGGTGTGCAACAAACGTGGACATAAAGAAGGTCATTATCCACCGAACCGTACGTCTCATCCCAAAAAGAAGCATAAACGTTCTCGACATGTGAAATCAGCCGAGTCTAAATCTCTTTCTCTGGTAGCTGCCCTTCAAACAAACTATGATATTCGGAGAAAGTATGTTACCATCCAGATAAACGGCATATCAGCTCGTCTTCAAATTGACACGGCATCAGATATCACCTTGGTGTCTAGAGCAACGTATAACTTGCTGGGTAAACCGCCAATGAAGCCATCTAAAAAAACGGCCAAAAACGCATCAGGTGGTGTGCTAAAACTGGTTGGTGAATTACAGTGTGAATTTTCCTTCAATGGAACTAACTGTACAGGAATATGTTACCTAACAGAACGGCCAAACCTTGATCTTCTTGGTCTAGATATGTTAGATAAACTTAGAATAATGGATGTACCAATTAACAGTGTCTGCAACGTATCGTGTTCATCATTAGACACCCCAGTACCTGCAAAGAAGACAGGTGAAAGGTTACTAGAAAAACTGAAAAGAAAGTTTGCCTCTGTTTTTCAGAATAGCCTTGGCCACTGTACCAAGATGAAAGCTCATTTACCATTGAAACCAAATGCCAAACCTATTTTTCGTCCGAAACGTCCTGTACCATATGATGCTCTTGAGTTAGTCGCTCAGGAACTTAATCGCTTGTAACAGGCTGGTGTAATACAACCAGTCAACTACTCTGCATGGGCCGCACCGATCGTAGTGATTAAGAAGGCCAATGGAACTATACGCATATGTGCCGATTTCTCAACCGGTTTAAATGCTGCATTAGATGTGTATCAATATCCGTTACCAGTTTCTGAAGACCTGTTTGCCAAACTTAATGGTGGGACATGTTTCGCGAAAATAGACTTTTCCGATGCCTATCTGCAAGTGGAAGTAGATGAAGACAGTACAGAGCTTTTGACCATTAACACTCATCGAGGGTTATTTCAATACACCCGTCTACCATTTGGCATCAAGACCGCACCTGCCATCTTTCAGCAAATAATGGATACGATGCTAACAGGTATACCTGGTACAGCAGCTTATCTAGATGATATCATAGTTATGGGTTCGACTGACAATGAACTTTCTGATCGACTACATCAAGTCCTTAACCGAGTGTTGGAATATGGTTTCCAACTACGTGAGGAAAAGTGTATATTCTTTATGCATTCCATCAAATACCTTGGTTTTATCTTAGATAAGAACGGTCGCCGACCAGACCCTGCCAACATCGAAGCCATTCAGAAGATGCCTGCACCAACTGATGTCTCTTCATTAAGATCCTTCTTGGGGTTAATCAGTCATTATAGCACATTCTTGCCTGAAATGCATCGAGTGAGGGGTCCGCTGAATGAATTACCATCAAAAGATAAACCTTGGCAGTGGTCAGCAGAATGTCAGGCATCTTTCGACAGAGTCAAATCAATTCTCAGCTCAAAAATTCTTTTGACACACTTCGATCCCAGCTTGGAAATTGTTGTTGCATCTGATGCCTCGACCGTTGTTGCTACCTTGACGTGGTGGTCGGGCTTGCCTATCGTGATGAAGCAACTGAGCTATACTGGCTGGAACAACCGTTCCTCAAGGTCCTACCATGCCAGACAGGTCGGTTGAAGAGCGGTAAGACTAAAAGCAACAAAACCAAGGTCCGAACGCGAAGTCGTACTGCTGTCTGTACAGAGGTGTGACAGCAGTAAGGTGTTTCCTTCAGACAACCAGCATAACAGCGATGCTGCCTTCCCAAAAGGAGGGGAGGGGTTAGAAAAGGTCGACCCTTAAAATGCACATCTCGCCTTATCCCACGGATATCTGTCTCCAGCGGTAAGGTCTCAACAAGTACGGAGCTAACACAAAAGTTACTCATAAAAAGGTCGTGTGTGACCGACCTCAAGCAGCTGTCCCTTGGGCACTGCGGTCACGCTCTCAGGTCACTATGACCAACTCTAATCCAATTCCCTTTTCAGGTACCTCCAGCAGAACCCTTCCACGGTGTGGGCAACCGGGAATTGATAACCGCCCTCATACCTCTAACAGCACTCAAGACCACTGTATTCATAATCAACCTACCTCTCCAATTCCTATTATTCCTCTTACATCGACTTTCAAATCTAAACTCCCTCTTTCGGCTTCCTCCTCAAGTATCACCACAGCCAACGATTCTAGTGCGCAAAACACTGTCCTAGCTCTACTGAAACCTCGCTCCAAACTACACATTGGAGCCTTTAACGTACGCACACTATGCCAAATCGGTCAGCAGGCTTCCTTGGCTAAAACCTTAGAATCTCGTACGATTGATGTATGCTGTGTCTCCGAAACACGCATACAGGATCCTAGTGTGGTCATTCACTTGACCTCACCTCGGCAAAACGGAGTGCCGACGAGATACACTCTCCGTGTATCTGGCGACCCGATGGCTAGTTCTCATGGACTTGCAGGTGTAGGCATAGCACTTAGCATGAGGGCGGAACAAGCGCTATTAGAGTGGATCCCCGTTAATAGTCGTCTATGCGCTGTTCGGCTAAACGGCACCGTAAGAACTCGAAAGGATAGGGACACACGTCGTTGCCTTTTCGTCGTTTCTGCCTACGCTCCCACTGACTGCAGCTCGGATGAAGTGAAAGATGAATTTTACAGAAAGCTGTCTGAACTTCTTCAGAAAGCTAAACGTTCAGACATAGTACTCGTAGCAGGCGACTTTAATGCCCAGGTAGGTAGCTTAAACGAAACAGAAAGACATTTAGGTGGGTATTTTAGTATTCCGGCACAGTGAACAGATAATGGTGATCGTCTGCTGCAACTGTGCTCAGACAATCGTTTATTTTTAGCAAACACAAATTTTAAGCATAAGGAGAGACATAGTCTAACATGGTGACCCCCTGCACCAAACCAACGATCGACTCAAATAGACCATATTGCCATCAGTCATCGTTGGAGAGGGTCGATAGAAGATTGTCGCTCATTCTGGAGTACCTGCTTGGACTCCGACCATGCCCTAGTACGAGCACGCATCTGCTTGCGCCTCACTGGACGCAAAAAAGCCACACAAAAAAGACTCATTAGAACCGAATTGAGTAATGAGAAAACCAAAAGTAGGTTCCAGGAACAACTGAGGTCACACTTAGGTAGTTCTGAAAACGAGACTGACCCAGATGTTGCTTGGAAAGACACACAAGCAGCTGTGGAAACAGCAGTGACATCTACTAGTGATTTAAACCACAGGGTTACAAAGAACCAATGGATTTCTTCAAGGTCTATTGCACTGATAGATTCTCGTAAACTCATCCCATCAGGTTCTGAACACGATGAAGAGCGTAAAGAAATCAGATCT